AAATATTGGATTATAGATTATTCGAAAAAAGTGAAATTGGGAATCCCAGATTTAGTAGAGAGAAGAATATAAAATAGTTGTACAAAAATAGTTTGTTATAAGCTCACTCGCGAGAGATCTTTTCAACACTCGAAGATAAATACCGTATCTCCRCTCGCACATACAATATCTTCTAAACTCAATGTACAAAATTTTCCGCTTCAACCGCGGAAAAACGAAAGCGTTATAATATAATACCACAAAAATTTATTTGGTAAATTCACCGTTCTTCATATTTCAAGACCGCAATCACACAGAGTTTTCATTGCATTACTTGCATGCTACTCGGGCACCTATCATAAAACTATAACTTATCAAACTATTTTAGGGAAGGATGCATGCTGAACAAGGACACGCCAAATTTACCCCTGATCAAATGCAGATCAGAAGCTAGTCTTACGAACTCTAGTTAGTTACAATAGAATATTCTAAAACGCATAATCGATGCATGTGTGAGAGGTCATCATGTATCATCTAAAAAACTATAATCAATCATATCGATTTCACTGTGTATATATTTCAAATTATATATTCAGAGCTTGTATCAGAAAACTCAAAATGCGCGACATTCAATAGTTGTAATAAAACTGGTGATAAAACTCAATCGGTCTTGTAATTGAATCTTGTGCATGCAGTAGTTAAAGATATCGTAAGATATCGTCTTTAACTTTGCTTCTAGGGAATCTGAAATTGAACGCCTTCCGACACGAAATTTATTGACTTGTCAAAGAGATGGACCGGGACCTACATCTTTTAAAAGAAGCCAGTCATATCAAAAAACAACAACAGAACTTATATTAACTCATTATTAGAATCATAGAAACATTATAATGAAAATATTTTAAAACCTGATCGACCAAAGGAATTTCATCATTTTATGCCATCTTTCTTTCTAACGATATTGTTAATCGGTCGAAATATTGCATCAATATCAAAGTTTTTTGTCTGTTTTTATTCTGACGATGACCGATCATGTCAATCGATCGAAATGCTACATCAACATCTACTTCCTTATTTTTTTAGCTGAATTTTTGTTATTATTATTTTTTTTCTTTTGGCGGTTTTCATTCATTCTAGAATGTTATGGAGTGTTTTTAAAGTATGTTGTTTGGAAGCTGTGGTGATCGCCGCGTCAATAAGAAATTATTGATTATTTTTACCCCCTATTTATCAACTCTATTTAAAGTGAGTATATTTTGTATTTTTTCCCAAGTCTGTCACACTTCTAAATAGCACTATTGTAAGCATGGAATCAAAACATTACCAAACTTGGAAACAAGTTTTGAATCAACATTCATTTCCTCGAACTGATTAATATGTGAAATAAGACGTCTGTTTCGAACAAATAATCGAAGATAAGGAATCGCTCAATTCTTGGATCATTCTTAATTGAGGACTCTCCAATGAGCGTTTCACGAGATAACCCCACAAAAAAACTATAACTCTATTCAATCAAAAGTTTTTAAAGTATTTTAATGACAGTGCATACCGATCAAGGGCTTGATCAAACATTCCTTTTCTCAATGGATGAATAAAAAAAATTAAGATTTTATTCTACAAATAGATAAAGATAATTCCTTCAGCGGTAACAAAACTGGGCGAAGCTACAACCCATGTATTTGAAAATCACAATAAAATTGAAAAGAAAGCAGAATGAAAATTCAAAACTTTCAGTCCAGAAAGAGAGTTGTGTATCAGTTATTATGTTTCATTGAAACAATGGTCTTAAATCTAAAAAATGTGCTTTGGGGACATGATTTCTTATTACTTACACAATTTTTTTTCTCTTTTCTTTCTTTCATTTCCTATAAAATACCAAGATAAACTCCACCACTATAAAGGCCAACTCGATAACTTTCAAGTTGACCTTGTCTTTAGGCAATAACTTACTAAAAGTTTATATAGAATAAGTGAAATGGTGGGAACTAGCGGTAAACTTGTGTGAGCTGCGTCGGTGTTTCTAAAGAAACAGCCTTGTGTAAAAAGATGAATTTAACACCGTAAAAAAAGTATGCGAAATAACTTACTGACGTTTCGGACGTTAATCCTTCGTCGGAGTAAAAGTGATGAAACTAGGTAAAGGGTGGGTTTATATAGTATATAATACTTCAATTTATTCTATTTATAAGAAAAAATATATATAGTGATGTAAAATGTTTTGAAAACCCAAATAAAGATATTTAAAAAAGTTTTTGTAAGTTTGGCCGTAAAGGGGTTTGGTATTGTCAACTTATCTCTATACATTGACACATGTTGTACGCTGATACTAGAATACTTTTGCAGTTATAGTCAGTTAGTCCTTTTTTATTAGTTTCTATTTAATTCAAAAATACTGATTATATACGCTACAATGGATTTCTTTATGAGTTACTCATAGGACAGTAAATAAGACAGTGCTGTATATCGCCATCATCTTTTATTAAAATATAGTCAAAATAGTCCAATCTTTAAATAACATTGATTTGATTTAAAATGGAAACAATATCGAACTTATTAATAGTTAAAATTAGACGTCTTTCCGGGCCAATAGCTGACTTTGATGATGTTTTGCTCCAGTGACCATGCACAAAAGAATTGCAGGCGAGGCTCCGGGGAAATAAAAGAATTCATCTGGAGCCTCGTCTGCAATTATTTTGTACATGCTTACTCAACCAAAATACCTAAAGTCGGCAATAGGACAGATGTCGACAATGAATAATTGGAAGCAGTGTTCTAAGTTTTGAAAAGTACTACACTGCATCTGGAGCTCCAATCTGCAATGGTTGACAGTAGTTTAATAAACAGCCTAACACTTTCAAGACTGGGGAACCGAGACAGAGTTGGTGCTGTCATTAATATTATCTTTGGAATAATTTTTATTGCACTTGCCTATAACTATGATTCTCAAGAACATCACCGTTTCCGATGCAAGAGTGATGACGATAAGAACAAAGAAAACATAAAGGAAGACTGTTTTCTTCAATATGATGACGCTTACAATTCACCAGCTTTGAGTCTCATCGTTGTATTCAGCTTTCTTGCACCAGCAATCGTTTGCATGGTCTACTGTTCATGCGTTGTTAACAGCCGAGTCTGTGATGTCAAAAAGAAACTGAGGTCTGACGAGGCGAACCATCTACAACTTCGAAAGATTAAGACTACGCGAGTTTTCAATTGTTGTGTCGCTCAGTTGTCCGTTCGCTTCGCTTTGAGGATAATGTTTATGATAGTAGAGCTAATTTATTATTACGACCAAGGCTTTAAATCAAAGTTTTCTTGTCATTATCAAGATCATTCCAATCTGGAATGCGTTAATTCTGTTGCTCCGAAGAAAGAGCAGTTGTCGAAATGCGTTTTTGCTGTGCATGCCGTTTTTGCATTGTTTTTATACCTTGAATTCGTCTTCCTCATTTACAAAAGTAAAGAAAATAAGGAATATCGATATGATTCTGTCTTTTGTCAAAAATATCTGCATATTATGTCCGAAGAAGAATCTCTGGGTTCGAACAACTGAAGAAATTGATACCGTTAATGCATTTACAGAAGACTGAGGGATTTACAATAACATTCACAAAATTTGGAAAAATTTATGTATTTCTGACTACCAAGTACTTGTCCATTGACACTGTCCGAACATTCTCGACCTGGATGACAGGAAGTCTTTATTGTTGTTGCTTATACAACGATCAGTGTTTCCTTCCCATAACACTGAAGATTTATCAAAACTATTTTAGCAATAAATGGTGATCAAAACTGCAATAAAGTAAACGACTAGTCTGTGCTAGGATGTGTCTACAAACTGATGCAACTTGTCATCAGTAACCTAGCAAAGATCTATGATGTGGTATTAAAAAAAGAAGAACTTTGCCGGTGTTGGTTTGCGATAAAACACTGATGACTTAAACATCAGTTCCTTGTATCGGTTATTGAACTGTTGAATAAAACATCAGTTCTACATATCTGGTTAACTATACAGTATTTTATCGAGGTTTGAGGTACTTCATCTGACTCGAGGTTCCAAGCACTAGTGTTCAAGAAGAAATCAACTTTCAACTTTATCGAATTATATTACAAACTCTCTAACATTCATAATCGATTCATATGTGAGAGGTCATGCATCATCTAAAAACACTGTTAAATTATATCGATTTCACTGTATGTATTCCAAATTATATATTCAGAGTTTATAGAGTGGAAAACTCAAAATGCAAGGCATTCGTCACAAGTGGCTGTAAAACTGGTGATAAAACTCAATCGGTCTTGTAAATGAATCTTCTGCATGCAGTAGTTAAAGATATCGTAAGATATTTTCTTCTTTGTCTCCCTGAGAGTGAAAGGAGACTCTGCTTCTAGTGTATCTGAAATTGAACGCCTTCGTTTTTATGAATGTCGGTCCTTTTTTTAGTCCGACACGTAAATTAGCGATTTATCAACTGAGAAATGGTCCTGGAACTACATCATATATTACATCAACATCTAAAGTTTTTTCTGTCTGTTTTTATTCTGGCGATGACCGATCATGTCAAACGATCGAAATGCTACATCAAAAACATCAACTTTCTTGCTTTTTTTAAACCTAAATTTTAGCTATTATTATAATTTTCTTTTTTTCTTTTGGCGGTTTTCTCCCATTCTAGAATGTTATGGGGTGTTTTCAAAGTTTGTTGTTTGGTAGCTGTGGTGATCACAATGTTAATAAGAATTATTGATAATTTCTATCCCGTAATCATTTACTCTATTTAAAGCTTTACTGAATAGCACTATTGTAAGCATGGAATCAAAACATTACTAAACTTGGAAAAATGGATTCATTTCTCAATCAACATCATTTTAAACTGATTAATATTTGAAATCAGACGTCTGTTTCGAACAAATAATCGAAGATAAGGAATCGCCCATTCCTTGATCAAACGATTTGAATTGAAGACTCTCCGATGAGCGTTTCACAAGATTATTCCACAAACTATAACTTTATCAAAACAAAAGTTTTAAAAGTGTTTAATAACAGCAGTGCGTACGACCAAGGACTTGATCAAACATTCGCTTACTCAGATGTTGTATAAAAAGATTAGCTTTTATTCTAAAAAATAGACAATGATAATTCCTTCAGCCTCTATCAATACTCCTACATCTATATCAACTTGTATCAATAGGTATTTGAAGTCTACTTTGCAGTTCACTGTATCATCTTGGTCAAGCGAAACTGGGCGAAGCAACCCATGTGTTTGAAAATCACAATAAAATTGAAAAGAAAGCAGAATGAAAATCCAAAACTTTCAGTCCAGAAAGAGAGTTGTGTATCAGTTACTATGTTTCATTGAAACAATTGTCTTAATTCTAAAAAAGTGCTTTGGGGACATGAAATTTCTTATTACTTTCACAATTTTTTTCTCTTTTCTTTCTCTCATTTTCTTTAAAACACAAAGATAAGCTCCCCCACTTAAGGCTAACTCGATAACTTTCAAATGTAGAAAGAGAGTCGTGTATCAGTTACTATGTCTCATTGAGACAATGGTCTTAAATCTAATCTTTGCTGGGACATGATTTCTTAATTTTACAATATGTTTTCTATTTTCTCTCTTTCATTTTCTTTAAAACAACAAGATAAACTCCACCACTAAAGACAAACTCGATATAACTTTCAAGTTTACCTAGTCTTAAGGCAATACCTTACACTTAAACTTTATATAGAAATAACTGAGTTTATTTAAGAATGTTATTTTTCATTAGCTCATGTTGTAAACTATACTTAAAAAAGCGAAAAATATACTGATTTTAAATTTGTTTCCGATTATGTTGTTATTCTGCTGTTGCTTACTAAAACTATATGTAGAAATAAGTGAGTTTATTTAAGTAAATTATTTTCATTAACAAATGTTGTAAATCTTATTTAAAAAAAGTGAGAATAAAAAAAGTGAAAAAGATTCTGATTCTGCTGTTGTTAGCGATTCAGTCGTTTTTGCAGAAAYAGAACCAAACTATAGCCAAAGCAATAATAATAACAATAAAAGCAACGCAGACGACGAAACCAAAGAAGTACATCAGTATTAGTAGAATAATAACACCAGCTCCTGCAAAAGAAATTTGATACAGTACAGTCGATCCTATATTATTTGAACCTCATATTATTCAGCAGTAAAAAATAACTAGACCAAAGGCACCGTTATTAACCAAGCAAGAGACATTTGCAATGTTCCAATTGTCACGTGTCTTGAAATATATTCAGTTTCTGCTCATATGACATTCTATACCATCCATATAGAAGTTTAAAAATGACTTGTCATTTATCCGTTAAAACCAACCATACACTCTACAGTTTGGAAAATGAATGAAAAATGAATATTCTCATAGTTGTTTAGAAATCGAAACAACTGCAATGTGTTATTTGGTAAACAACCTTTTCAAGATCGGCTGTTTATTTACTCTTAACGTCAACCTGTCAACCCCTATTAAGCGGTCGCTTGGTCTTTCCCTTCAAGATATTGGGACAGTTTTTCAAATCCTTTTTTGCGAGGTGTAAACTACGCCCTAAATAGAAGAAACTTTTACCTTTGCCAGCGAAACTGTTCCATTTAAAGTTATCATCACACTCACAGCAGCCATAGTCACAGCAGGGTTTAGGCTCTGGCGGAGATTCAACGATTATCACCGGAGGACTTGAAATTAAAATATATAGCTAATGATTAATTGATAATATTTATAATAATGATGAATTAATAATTATTGTATATTATACTGAAGTATAAACCGGCTGCGCGCGTGAGATGGAGAGCACGCAAGGGAAGGAAGCTCAGTAAGAATAAAAGAGCAGCCTATTTTATTATTTTATTATTTGCCATTTTTAAAAACATGTTTAAATCATGAGCACGAGCATGAAATGAGAAAGCGTGTTATATATCACGACTACTTCGCTCTACTAACCCGGCTGTTATTGGAAGAAAGGTGGGTCCTGGCTGCTGTGGCTGCTGTGTTTCTAAAGTTCTTGTCTCAAGCGCCACGAATCTTTATTTAAAAGAAAATAAACGTAAATTATTATGGAATATGTTCAGTATATAGAAATTCTGATTTCGTCGAGTTACAAAGTGGTTCTGCATGATCAGATAAGTGATCAATATTATATGCTTTGATAAAACTTTCTACAATTTCAAACGATTGCAATTCAACAGCCGGAGTGTTACATTCGGTTTTGTTGTCCTTTATTCGTAAATCTTTGTTAAACTTTGAAGAAATGCAGTATAATCTCACTGAGAAGTTCGGCAAATGCGAACTGGAAAACGTTTCGTCCATTCGACCTTCTTAGAGTAAAATTGGTGGAAACTAGCTGTAAAATAGTGTGAGCTACGTCGGTGTTTCCATAGTTAGTTAGTTAGTTCCCTCTACTAACTATGGTGTTTCTTAAGAAACAGTCGTGTAAAATGATAAATTTAACACCGTAAAAACGTAGATGACAACTGCTTTTTCAGTGAATTTGATCTCTTAGTTCTAGCTACCTCTCTCTACTCTATATGTTATACATGTATATAGCAAGCAAAGCTGAAACTCTATTAGCTATCAGATGAAACATCTTACCCCTCATTTGTTCCGATCACCTCAGTTCTTTTAGTGAATTCCAAGCCACCGGAAATTACTTTTTCTTCTCGTACGGCGTACATTTTATGCCAATAAATCTTAGTCCTTCACAACTGGACCACGCCGGAAGTAAAGCACATTCAAACTGAATACGTTTTGATCAGTTTCCACGACCTTGGTCTCGGTACTGATTTTTCATTGTTTTTTATATGAATTTATAATACC